TGGTCGTTTAGTCGAAAGTGCTTTCCATGTCCGTGAAGACTCTTTGTGTTTTTAAAGAATTTAATCATTGTTATTAAGAATCATAATAATTCATTTATCCTTTGATAGACCTTTGGGTATCTTCATGAATTGAATGTCACATTCCTCCCAGGGATTTTGAACAGGAGTAGATTTTGATCTTTTGTTGTCTGGTTAGGATTGGCTTTTCTGGTTCCTTCTAATGTCTACTTCGAAAATCTCCGTCTACACTTTGTAATTTTATTTACTATTTATTTTTTCTGCCCAATCGAAGTTGATAGGGTAACTATCGCCATGTTTACTCACCCCCCCCCAGTCATTTGAATAGAAGTAGCGTTTTATCTCTTGTTTTCTGCTTCGTTCTAAACCCGTTTTTTTTATTGTCATTCCCTCCCAGTAAACTCTTGCATGTTAGTTGCATTAGCGTCTACTTCAACTCTATAATCATAATGCCTCTGCCTGAAATCTGAAATTTTATTTACTATATATTTATTCCTTTTTCCTCTACAATAGGAGAAGATAGTTTTTACCTATCGCCCGGTTCACAATCCCCCCCTTTATTTTGAACAAGGTTAGAAGTTAATCATTTGTTTTGCTTTATTTATTTAGGATTGGGGTTCCGGATCTTAGTAAAGTCTACTTCAAATATATACTTCTACCGACTTCGCAAAAACTTCATAATTATATTTACTACTCTTTTTCTTAAATATGAATGGATATGCCCACCTATCGTCCTGTTCACACTCCTCTCCGGTTTTTATCCCTTGTTTCTGGTTTAGAATTGAATTTCAGGTTTCTTATAAAGTCTACTTCCACTCTGTACTGTTAACGGAGTATATAGGTTCGCTTATGCTCCTGCTTACATAATTCTCTGATTTTTTTGATAAGGGTAGCTATTTATCGTTTTTTCCTGTTTAGGATTGGGATTCTGGCTGCTTCTAAATTCTTCTTCATTCGCTTACACTCTCAGTAGCTCCTTGTATCTTAGTGGTATTATCAAGTGAATTGATTACAACAATAGAAAAGTACTTATCAGATCCATATTTGAAATATACTTCTCTCGATAAATTTTCGAATTCTGCTCATGAGAGATAAAAGGTTCTTTCTGCATTTAAATATATGCACTGGTGTACACAATCTTTGAGAAACTTTGGTGAATTTGTTAATTTTTACCGCTAAATCGTGAATGATTAGCAGTATGCTTTTGTCGGTACATTTCATGATGTTTGGAGGCCAAAAAAAAAAAAGAAGTTTATTCAAATTGGTTATTGCTGCATGGTGGATAACGCAGCGAGAATTTAATCTATAAGCTATAAAAGCCGCTTTCATGTTAAAAATAGTTGCGGGTTCAATACCTGGCCACAGCAGAGTGAACAAAAACTTGTAGAGTTGAGTTACTGAACGGAGATAAGTTAATGTCTAGTACTTCGCTTAAATTCATAAAATCAAGATACGAGAGCAAAGAGTTCATCCAAACAAGTAAGAGAAAAGTGATTATAGAAATGGCAAAGGGAAGCAACTTTACGGCTGTGGGTAAGTGACTGAAACAAAGGCCAGGACAATGATATTGCTGATTCTTTTTTGGATTTGATCAAGCATGTCTAAATATATAAAATATCGGGCCAAAATATGGACGAATAGAAGACATTATTCATTCTGAAGACAGAAATTGAACCAAATTACGGACCTGTGTAAATATAGTATTTTCTAAATTTACACATGTCCGCAAACCGAAAATCTATGTTCGCTACGTAGACGATATTTTTATTTTAGATAATAACATTATCATAAGAAATAGAGACACTTAAAACCACATTTGAGAAAAACTCCATCCTTAACTTTACATATGAACTTAGCCAAAAAACAAACTTCCATTCTTAGATGTCCTCGTTGAATACAGCAATAACACTTTCATTACATCATTATACAAAAACCCACCAGCAAAAAAATAGTTGCGAACATCCATTTAGGTTCAAATAGCTGTAATAGAAAACTTTCAAAGAGAGCACAACAAAATTCATCCTCTGACAACTCTTCCTCAAAGAACTTACGAACGTTAAACAAACACTAATCAAGAACACCTTCCCTAACGACTTTATAGACCACCAAATTAGACTATTATAAATCACGATAGTGAACATACAGCCAAAAATCAGATACACATTTATTACAAAAACCAAATACATATTAATTACAAAACAAGACGAATATTCATAAAAACAAATACACTATAATTGATCCGAATAAAAAAAAAATTTATTATCTATAAAAAAATAAGACAGCAAACCTTCCTCAAAAATAACAACACACCAGCTAAGTCAAAATTACAAAGAACGAACATTATGTATGAGTTAATGCCCCTTAGGGATCAAACCGGACCATAAATAATTACATCGGTTAGACAACAAAGACGTCTTACGTTACACCTATCTGGCCCACGAGACCCCACTGGCTTCATTAGGAACACAAATATATTGTGCATTAACCTGCAAAAAAGACTAAAATAATGGAAGCTTTAATAATAAGAAAGAAAAGCCAACTCTTAAGAATATTAACTACGAACAAAGCCAAAATGTGCTAACCGTATTCCAGGAAATTGAAAAACATCCCTACTAAGACATACACAGAACGCACACACTTAATTAAGCTGAAAATCGAATTCCCTGATAACGGCTAAAGGTATAGCAAAGTGTCTAAATTTGATATACCCTTTGTCCAGAAAGAAAGCTCGTCAGAAGACAAGAAAAAATTAAATAAAAAGGGTCGTTTTTAATGAAACATGCATAAAGGAAGGATTTCAAATACACACACACACACACATTTGATTCTAATTAGTGAGGGTCAAGCAGATCAGTTCCCTAGGAAACCGAAGGTTTTGATTCTAGTGGTGAAGGTTTCGTGCAGGACCATCCACACTTTTAAAGGGACGAATACAGAGACCTGGGGCACTGAGTGTCACAGGTTTTGAATTCAGAGTTGTCCTTCTCCTAGACCAGTTGCCATCAAAGGCTATTGAACCCAGTCTGTATGCTATTTACCCATAGCTAGAAGGAGAAATATATATATATATATATATATATATATAGATAGATAGATAGATAGATAGATAGATAATATTAGTGGTAAATATGTTTTCTTTTTTGAATTTGTCGATCTGATGAATTGGATCGTAATTACGATTCAATGGAATAAATTATGACCATCGAATATTAGTGTTTAAGCCTTTTTATTATATATATATATATATATATATATATATATATATATATATATATATATATAATATCTGTGTGTATAGCGTGAGAACAAATGAAAATCGGATTCATGAAGATAAAAAAAGGACAAGAGAGTGTTTCCTGGAGACATATCGAAACATGATTTTTTTTTTTTTGATGGGGAAATTTGTTTCTTTTCCTCCTGAAACCGGGCCGACATTTACTTAACCTAAGAAATCATTATTCTAATATCAGAAACATTTCCCTGTAAACAGACAGACTATATAATCTTTCGGCATATTTACGGGCTGGCAGCTTTCAAAGTCAACCGTGTAAAATCCAATTCCAATGTGTTGAACAGTAGATATGGCCTACTTTGGCAGATTCTGCGGGCAAAATACCCACTTTGACAAATCGAACTTCTAAACGAACGTAAAAGCGTCACGGAAAGAATATCCGCTATATTTAATCAAGCGTGTAATTTAGTGCGCATACTCCACTATTCAGCCATTCCCTTTTGTATCTCTTTAGGCTGAAAAAAGATGAAAGATAGCATCTGGCTTCCGCATAACAAAGGAATGTTTAGAAAGTTAAGGCCGGATTCCTGATATATTTTCTCTCTTCTGACTGGCTATCATTTGAATTCCAAGAATGGGCTCTGTCAGTGAGTAAAATTCAAAGGAACTATTGTACCAGAGGATACTCTCAAAGAAACTAACTTCTTGCAGTGCGGGCAATGTTGTTAAAAGGTGAAATTTCTTATGCTCATTACAATTTCTCGATGGCGGACATCTTGGAGCGTCATGATGTAGTTTGGGAAATCATTTTAAAATTTGTGTCATCATTCGATTTTGAATCCCACATTGTTTTGTGGATATGCAAGCGGTGACATGTTCAGAGGTTCTGAACGGGAAATGAGTTTTATTCATTGTGTTAATTCCATTGTTGTGACATTTTAATAATCAAAATTGTGGCCTGTTCACTATCTATGCGATAATAATAAATAATATTTTTTTAATATACATATATACATACATACATACATACAATGAATCATTCAAACAAATATAAATTAGTAAAGTGTATGATATAAAATGACGAAATCTCTTTGCTAAGTAAATTTTAAAGATGCATTAACCTACCAATCACTCGATGAATGTTATGATTCTTGTCTTTTTTTTTAAACCGAATAGGTCTTACTTAAATAATCAAGTTCTTTCGACTGTACGTCCAGTCATCATCAGGCATGGAAATTATTTTGGTTTTGGTGAAATTCACGTACCATACAAAACGAAAAAAAAATATAATGCGAATCGAAATATGTCTTCTTTTTTTTTTGGAAATGTGTTATTGATAACGGATATAAAATTTTGGAGCGTGCAGGCGAAACTCTAAGGTTGGATTTTTTGGGAAAATTTAAGAGTATCCGTTTTTTACTAATATGGCAATTTGAGAATGTTTTTGGAGGAGTTTATCAGTCAATGTGGCATGAACTAAATTCTTCAATAAATAGAGTAATGTCTCAGTTGTTATCCCGAAAATTTGCACGGCGGATCAGTTCTTTTAAATCAAATATGTAGTGTTGTTCAATTTATATTTCAATGGATCATTCATGCAAAATTAAATTGGTAAAGTTAATGATATAAATAATGATACATACACACACACACATACACACACACACACACACATATATATATATATATATATATATATATATATATGTATGGTCCGACGATTGCGTCTAGCATAAAACAGCATGTCGCC